GTACACAGCCTTTCTACTCTAAAGAATCCACTCTTCAAGAAGGACAGAGTATGAAGTCAAGTTGAGGGGCCACTCCTAGCAAAGGAAGCAGAGGACTGGGGGAGTCTCAAGGAAACAAACAGGAAAATGGGGAGGGAAGATCAACATTCTTGTGTTAACAGGCTGGCTGAGCTCTGGAGCTTATAGACCAAGGCTTTGATTCTGGGAAGCAAGAGGTGGGAATCCAACGCAGAGAGAGGGTGCAGCTGGAAAGGATGGGGCTATTTGGCACAGAGGATGAGTGAGAGGGGAAACCAGAGGCAGTGGAAATACAAGAAGCAGGGGCAAAAAAATAAGCTTAGCCTTGGAGAAGCTGAACTGAGAAGTGTTTATTTAAAATAACAAGTTGTAGGTGAGAGACTGAGCAAGGAGAGAGAACTTGATGGATCCAAAACCAGACCTGGGTGTCCTGAATACCAGTAAGGCGTGGGACCACTGAGCGAGAGGGGTACAGGACCGGGTAGAGCTATCCGCAGGAGTGAAGCACAAGGGCTGCAGAGTGACTGCATGCGGAGAGCACAAAGGGAAACTTGGTTACCTGTGCTAAAGTCTCACGAGGGCTCTGAGAGAAGTAAAACAGGGAAGGAGCCTTTTGCCCTTCACTGTGAGGGGTCGAGGCAGGTTCAGAGGAAAGCGGGCCAGTCGCATCAGGAAATGAGTCACACACAGCCTTTGCTCTGAGCCCAACTTGACATGAGCTGAGAACACTGAAGGTATTAGGGAGGCCAAGTCCAAGTCACTTTTAATCTTCAAACTAGCAAGACAGACATCTTTTTTTTTTCACTGTCAGAGTCTGTGAAGAGAAGAATGAGCTTGAGCAGTAAGATTATAAGGACGTTTCCTTCTTAAATTTGTCTGTAGTTCCTCCAGGTGGGAGCCGTGTGTCTGGCATTAATCATGCAGGATCTGGGTGCACTGTGTGAGATGACAGCTGCCCCCCTCTGTGACAGCAGCCCCCGAGAAGCCGCTCCTTCTGTTCCACACATAGGACAAGCAATTTGCTGGAGGTGTCTGTCTCCACTGACTACGGCAGGAGGATAGTTTAGACACCTTATTTTAGAGATTTAGGATGGAACAGGCTGCATTGCTTACACGTACTGTCAGGCACGCTAGTTTCAGGTCACAAAACCCTGTATCAATGGGAAGACTTCTGACAACCTGAGACAGAGGCTTCAGTCTGAGATGCTCCCTCCCATAGCAGACGGGCTGGGAAGGACCCATCAGGAGGCAGCAACCACCCACTCAAATTTATTGAATGAGAAAGGGAGGCAAAGCCATGCTGCCTGCATAAGCCATGCTCTCTGAGCTGCTTTATTAAGAGACATTTGAGATGTTAATACAAGAAAATGGCTTTTTCAGAGGTACTGAAGGAAGGGCTCAGTCCTGAGCAGGGCCTTGTCAGAAAACTTCGGTCTGCTCAGGATCCCTGTCAGGCTGTGAGAAGTGTCACAGGCTCTCCATCAAGGCACCAGCAGAAGTGGTTTCTAGTCTGTGAGAGAGGCAGCAAGCACTTTATTAACAACATCCAGCAGTAACAAGAAAAAACATTTAGGTCTTGGGCACAGTGGTGCACTAAGGATTTTGACTGTCGATATACTCTGTAATTAGATTTTGATTCTCAGGACCAGAAGTTTCCTTTGGATTTTGCATTAAAAGCTAATAGTGGAGGAATCAGTTCCAATGTACATTGGGGTAAAGGTCAGTAGGACAAGTTACACAGCAGAGCTGAGCTGAGATCATCCCTCTTTGGAAACCTCCGCCAGGAGATACTAAAGACATGACCTTCCTGTTCCAGGCTAGCTCTAAGTGGGTTATTTCTGATAACCACCATTGAAAAAAGGGGGGGGGGGGGGGGGGGGGGAGGGAGGGGGAAGAAGAAAAGCAAGTACCAGTTCCTTGCACAATAGGAGAGAACTCACATCTCACTCTGGTTTCAGTGACAGGGTCAGTGACAGCAAATTGCTTCTTGAAATGCTTTTTTAGAAGGGGAGAGAAAAATCTTTCCTATCGCTGCAGACCAGTTTAAACACTTAAAAAGATATTGATCTGATATTATGCGATTTCCATTGTTCCAAGGCTCAAACACTAAATGCACAAGTATCTCTGGGAACATTCTGAAAATTGTCATTCTGCTGGCTGTTGTGCTTCTCGGTGGCTCTGATTCAGAACCACTCTCTAATTCTTAGTATCTCAGCTCTGGTTTTATGGAAGCTTTTATGTGGATAAAACCAGCTTTATTTTCATGCTTATTTAACGTAATGCTTTCCTTGGGAAATAAGGTGCAATATAAAAATAAGTGAGTTCTGAATCAGCAAAACATACAAAGTTACTTCCAGCTACAGATCATTCAGCAACTTTTGAATTGGTAGTGACCCACACTGCAATCAGTTTTTATCGCTTGAAAAGTCTGTTTTATGCCTCATCAAAATGTTCTGGAATAAAACAAAGCAAACCACAAAGAGAATAAACCTCTGAACTTTAGCAAATGGACAGAGGTATCATCTGAAACTGCAGAATGCGTTTATAGAAGTAAAATAGTTACAGCGTTGGTAGTGCCAACCTTCAATGAGGTCTGGACCTCGGTGTGACACATTCAGGCTGAAAAATAGACTTCAGTCTTGCAGGCCTTTGGGCTTGCAGTGGGTGAGAAGTGACATGCACCACAGCATGTGGTGTGTGTCACCTCCAGGTCCGCAGAGCTTTGGTGAGTTCCCAACACATCAGTCCCCTCCTGGTCCCCATCCTGCCTCTCCTTGCTCTGTGCCCATTTTGGAGGACATGCTTTTACATCTTTGTTTGTGTTGACATACCCAAGAACAACATCTTGTCAATAAACAGCCTGTCAGATTTTAAGCAATCAATGTGATAGCTTCACACCAGATTTCAGTGGGTTAAATGTCAATAGGAAACCCATTTACTCTTGTCCACTTCTTGTCAGAAGAATATTAAAAATGAAAATGAATTAGGGAAATTTTAAGGGTCAGCACAGATACTGCAGATGAGGATTTTCCACTCAATAAAGCTGAAGAAATTTGTTCTAGGAAAAAAAATAATGGGTTCTCATTTTGTCAGGTAAAATATTGGGTTTGCTCTTTCACATCTTCACAGACAACAACATCTGCACAAATAATGGCTTTGTGACAGTTATACCTTTCTTGTAAAGAAAATAAAATAATAAACAAGGAGCAATTCTTGTCTGAGTCAGTGACCAAAAATTTTAAAAATGAACAAAGTCCTCAGTAGAAATAAAGAGTTGCTATTAGTTTTACCAGCTTAATAGTTATACAGTTAGCTAATGATTACTTGACTAGCGAACTTCTATCCTGCACAATTAGCACTGGAATATTTAGCAATAGCAATAATCCAAAGCTGAGTCTAAATTCAGGTTGCCAGTCAGACAACTTCATAGCAGTGACTGGGAGCATTTTCTCTTCCTTCAGGAGAAGACAAAGCTGACAGCCTTACAAGTGAAGCTTCACATTTCTTCCTTTCACTGTTAGAATCATCCTCTATGGATGGATGTATTTGCCTCATTTCCCTTGATTACATGTAGCTTTCTGTTTCTACTTCTCTGTTTCTCTAAATAAAGGCATTTGGTCTTTATTACGGGAGAACCACAGTGCTTTGCGCAGTAATGGTGCTGTAAAAGTGAACCCAATTAATGGGCCCAGGTCTAACAGCTCCGGATGTGACTAACCCTGCTCGCCCCTGGCATTACTCACATCCTGTACCAGAAGGTGAGGACACCTCTTTGGTCTCTCCCTCTGCGGCTGGGGGCAAGTCACAGAGAAATGAATTGTCCTTTGTGCCCAGGGCTCGATGCAGAGCTGCCTGAAGTTAGTGAGGGCTCTTCCATTTAAGGACTTCAAATCAGGTTATGTAGGAAGGAAAAGAAAAGCATTGTTGCTTTTAGCTTTTGCTAAAGGAGTAAAATACAACCATGGGAAGAAATTCAGACCTCTGATTTTTTTTTCAAGTATTATATAGAAAAGAAATAAGGTCATTTCTGCAGCATAATGTGGTATGGCGCAGACCATTAGCACACAAAAAGGACAATTCCATCTTCAGAGAAGTTGCTTAGTGCCAGACGTGCTTTGCCTATGTTACTGAGAAAGATGAGTATTTCTGCTGTGCTACATGGCCATATTGTTCTTCATGAAGCTTTCATAAGAGCATGTCTTTTATTTCCAAGGAGAAAAATAAATAATTTTCCCAGAACCCTGTTTATAGAGATCTTGCTCTGGTTTCACAGAGTATTTCACACCATCAAGCCCGATTAAAACCCTGCCAGGTGCTATGAAACACTGAGCCACCACCCAGGCCCAGAGCTCCTGGCTGTCAGCTGCTCCTCTCTGCAAAACGAAGCTGCTCGCCTCCTCCTGCACAGCAGCAGCACAGGGCAGGCCATGCAGCAGGGGCCCGGCTCTCCCACCAGCTCTGGCCACAGGAGCAGGTGCTGGGGCGAGGTGCCTGAGCATGTTCATGCCCAGCCCCTCTCGTGCTGCATGGCTTGGGATGGGGTCCGGAGCAAGCAGTGCTGGCCCCTGTCTCCCGGGTGAGCTTGTAGTCTGTGTCGCATCGACCCTTCCTAACAGGGCTTTGCAGTGGGGCTGAACAGAAAGGGACTGGCCTTGGTGCTGCCTCAACCACCTCCGAGCAGCAACAACTGGAAAAAAACATCTTGGCTTTGCTGTTGGGTAGTACACTGCTTCGTAGGGCCAGGTCACCGTATTCAGTGAATTACTGTATTTACTGCTCACCTTAACAATGTTGCATTCAGTTGCTTTATGTTTTTGTTTGTTTGTTTTTAACAACAGTCATTTTGTTTAAAGAAACACTGCGGACAGTTACTCTATAGAAATTACATTTGCATTGGTTTGAATTCCAGTTTTTCCAGAGAACTTAGTCATCATATCAGGTTTATGCTTCTTAGTTGTAACATAAAATGAAAGACTCAGATGTCTGCCTCCACTGTGCCAGCTCCATTCAGAGCTCCACTTACACTTGTTTATTAACGTAAGTAAAATAAGCGCTCAGATGATAACGCCTGCATGAGAAAGTCTGTCAAACACATTTCTTGTGAGTGAATTAGAGAAGATATCTGAGTCCTGGGTGCTCGTTCTCTGAAGACATTTTTTAAATTCAATTTCCTTCCCTAAGCACACCCTTCTGCACAGTAATTCCCATAGACATGACAGTTACAAGGTATTGCCATTTGCAAGAGGCAAGCATTTACTTTAAGCACTAGAATTGGATATGCCAGTGTGTTTTGCAGTATCCCAAGTGATGTGTCATCTCTGCTCCTTGTATGGTGCACCGCTCACCTCTCCCCTTCCAAATCTTACAAGATTTGCCTTACAATTACTTCTCCCTCAGCTTCACAGATTCCTCATTAGATGCAAACACAGCATCAGACTACGTGTTAACAGGCTCTGTACCTATCATTAAAGTATCTTGATTTCCAGAATTATATTGTTTTGCACTCAGACTCACATGTTCCTTGTGGCCAATACCTAGGACAGGTTCCTAGTGGCCAACACCTCCTTGGTCACCATGTCCATGCTGTCACAATTCAGACTTCACCATCTCTGTGTGCTTGCGTACTGGTTTTATTTTTAGCCATGTTTTCATGGACAGCTCAAGAGAGCCATATTTCTGCATGGACCTTACACTCACTCGTGAGTTTGCAAGCCACCCTCTCTCACACATGGAGCCACCCCCCCAGTTTGCTTGCCTACAGTTAGCCAGTGTTCCCAGCACAAACTGGTCACAGGGCAGTTCGCAACTGGTAAGTGACAGGACAGTTAAGTCACCACTCATGATTTGGAATATGAGGTAGGGGTGATAGCCTTTGATTTCACCAGTCCTTGGAGCATACCCAACGAGCTGTCATATTCCAGCCTGCAGAGCTGCCCTGGAGTCACCAGCTTAACTTGCTGGCACCACTGGGAATGACAGTCTCTGTGAGGCTCAGGTTGGTGTCTGCACTGATCACTGGCACACAGTCCAAAAAATGATTTCCACCATGAACATTTGACTTCCAATTTAGTATCACCTATGTAGATAATAGAAAGACATCACAAAAGAAAAGTAGTAGAAAGTGCAAAAATGCAAAATTATTCTGAAACCATTTATTTGGCTTGCAGGCGGTGTTTGGCTAGTGGGCATTGGGTTGGTTCTCAACAAAATGGTATGTGGTATGTGTTTTAAGAAAGGATTGGTTCCTCAGCTGGCTAGACACTGCAGTTTAAACAATGTTTTGTGGTGACTGGGAGTGACCTTTACAGAACAAAACAAACAATTGAAAGAAGAATGGAGTAACTTTTTTGCTGTCCTGTTTCTAAGTTGTGTTCTCGTTGTGATTTTTGAGATGTTACCTCCTCTACCAGGAAGCACATCTGTATATGGTACTGGCATAAACACTTCTGGATCACAATGAATCAGATGAGCAGAGCTGAGTAATTTGTATAACAGCAGAGTAAACAGCTAAGATGTTGTGTGTGGAAATTTGAGAATGGCTACAAATTTTATTACTCTTAAATAAAATACAAATAAATAAAAGTGTGGAATCAATGCCGTGTTTCTATATGCATAAACAACCACCTACTTTAAAACAGTATGCATTAGTTCATACCTATAGGTTCTTTTCATTTGCTCCGGCTATGAAAGATTTGGTGTGCTACTGAAGAATTTTTGGTTTTGCTGACTGTTTAGATGAAAAGTTCACTCTACACACTTCATTCTGGAACCCACATATGAGCTGTTCACCCCCGGAAAACCTGACTGGACAAGGTCTCAGTCAACCCAACTGAACTTTGAAGTTAGCTTGTTTTGGGAGGAAGGCTGGGCGAGATGATCTCCAGCAGCCCTTTCCAATCCATTTTTTCCCTGTGACTTTGCAATTATAACAGAATGCTGCCTGGCCGTCAGATCAAGGGTTTAGTTTTCTGCCACAATTGGCTGAACGCTGGATATGTCTGTCTTTGCAGAGTTCCTCTGGGAGGTTGCCCGTGTTTTCTGGCAGGCACTGCCTCTCTTATAATGGCAGTTCTCAACCCAGGCATGCCTGAACGGAGGGGAGATGGACTGCAGAGCATGGCTCTGGGCTGCACTCCTTCGCCGGCACACGCACAGCAAAGACTTCAACTCAGATCTGAAGCTCTCATTCAGCCAACAGTAAATGAAGGGATTGTAGCAAGTGCTGCTCATGGCAAACCAGTGAAAAGCGAAGTACAGAGCATTGCTGCTGTGGATAGCCCTACAGGAGATCAACACCACATAGCAGTTCAGAGGGAACCAGCACACTGCAAACACAATCACCACCACCATCAGCATCTTCAGCGTCATCTTCTTTTTCCGCTGATGTGCATAGTATTGCTCCATCGTGATGTCCCCAATGGCATTCCTCAGCCAGAGCTTCTTAGCTACCATGGTGTATGTGATGGAGATCACAAGCAAGGGCAGGACATACAAGAGAACAAAAGTAGTCAAGTCCAAATACTTCCAGAAAAGGTCAGCAGGAGGAGGGAAGCTGGGTAGGCAGACCATTCGTATTGTTCTGTTCCTGAAGATCCAAGAGATAAAGAACCATTAATCCCGCTGCATCTTAAGTGTTCTTGTAGGTTTCAATAAAGGCACAGAGAGCAGAATTAATTCAGTAACACAGGCAAGGGCCTCTTTCAATTGAGAACTTCACATTAAGTCTGACCTTTGGCTCCAGTGAAGGTATTTTAAACACATCCCCAGAAAAGAAATAATCATTCATATTAAAAATTGTTCACATCTCTTCTGTGCCTGCTTCAAATGACAGCACTGAATCTCTGAGATGAAATGAACTAACAACAAGCCTGAAAGCAATGTCATTGATTTTCATTATCCTTTTGAGAGAAACTCACTGCCTGGTGAAATATAAGGAAGATTTCTCTGCTTCACCATACTTTCTATTTTAATAACACAGATGGAGAAATGCATGCATTAGAATCTGTGGGACTTTGACTGAGCTATGTCATATAAAAAAAGCACTGTGTAAAAGTCTTACCCGATGTAAAATCTTGTCAAGGTCTGATAAATGGCATGAGGCAATGAGAAGCAGCTGGCCAAAACCCATATGATAATGATGCAAATCCCTCCTTTCACCATGGACATGCGTGGCTTGAGAGGGTGCATGATAACCTGCAGAGAACAACCAATCCAGAGGATTTAAAAGGTCCTCAACTGATAAAAATGAGCTGCAAATTAAAATAAATAAATAAATAAAATAATAAAGGTGCACCTTTGCTTTATCCATGTTCAAGAGCAAGCATTTGACACTGAACTCTGAGTAAAAAGCAGAGTATGGGCTTTCCAAGGCATACTCAGCGTGGACCTAAAGGGTGGTAGAAGTTGAAAGCCAAGAATCTGTTCTGGTTTGCACTACAGAGAGCACAAAGTGTATTGATTACTGTAGAAGAGGTCTCAAATGCAGATGGCAGACCTGGTATTCACAACTTTTGACATTTGATGGACTTGCACAAGTCTGACATGGTGCCTAAGATCCTTACAGTTAAATGTAATCTTGGACCAACATGGCATTAACGTCAAAGCTGGTTTCTTCTCTATCCACAGTCTGTCCTGTGCAGTACTGGCTACAGTGTGGTGCACTGCATGTGTGCATGTGTGCTTGCTGCTGAGGAGGGCTACTTTGTCTGGTGATGTCTTGGTCACTCTTTCAGCCCCACATTGCAGTTTGAGATGCTGCAACAGCTCTGCATCCATCCAGTCTTAAAAGGTGGGCAGGAGAGTGTCATCTTAAGGGACTTCTGAAAGTGTAAGGGCTGGAAAATGTAAAGAGCTATGTGAGCATTAAATGCTGCTGCTGGCCTGGTGCCCTGAGCAGAAAAACACGTTCAGTGTCACCATCAACTGTGTCACCATCAACTTGAGTTCAGAGATCATGAAAGTTATATGTCCATTGAGCTACATGGCCCACAGATGATTACATTACACAATAAAACAATAATTACAAATAGAACTATCATGTCATCCACATGATTTCTTGGCTGATTAATTTTTTGGCATTTTTTTCTGCACCTTTTCTTGTCTCATTATAACTATTTATTTAATTGAGCTTCTATAACTCCCCTGGAACATCTGCCTGCTCTGATACCTCCCAGGACTAGCAATATTTTTAGAGTCAAGTGTTGCTTTCTCTTTGCTCAGTGACATCTCCATACTTCTATTTATTTCTCCTTGGGCCATGCCAGCTAATTCCAGTTCTGAGGAGCTTACTGCACTGGGTTTAACAGCAATTATTGTTTGCTCATAATCAAACCAGCGTTTCTTAATGCACAACCATGCTTTGCCATCAACCCAGAATCTGCTAATTAAAATGCCTCGTTATTGGAATACTTTGCAATGTTATTTGTAGAAGGGACAGACTACCAAACTTTTTGTGGTATAAAAGACAAAAGCGGATGGTCTGTGCTCTGGCAGTCACTGTGACTTTCTGACACTAGATGGAGCGCATCCCAGATAATCGGAGTGGAATCAGTTACTGTTTTCAACTTCATCTAGCTGTGTCACTTATCATCTGCTTTTCAGTAACAACCATTACTGCAGGCTCCAGCACTGCAAGGAAAATACACAGTAAGCCCAACGAGTGTACCTTGCAGAGCCTGCTCTCCCAGCGCACAGCATCTGTCAGCCTTAGCAAAAATGACAAATTTTATTATCCTTCAAGGAAAGCCCTGTTTGCACTCATTGGTTGGCCTATGTAGCTTTTATGGTTGGTATTTGCCAAGAAGCATCTTTTTGCTGGGGAGGGGGACAGTGCAGAGAATTTCTCATCTTAAGCTGAACATACTAACACAGTTCTCTCGACTGCCAATCCCAGGTATCCCAAAATAATGGGGCAAGCCTGAAAGTCGGAAGAGTCTTCATGTATAAATGCTGAGATAATGTTTGGGCTCGCTGATGTTTGAATATATTCCCGCAATGCTTTAGGGCACCGAGTCACTGAGGCAGGAAGGGACCTTTGAAGACCACCTTGCCTACCCCCTGCAGAAGGCAGGCCCACCTGGAGCATGCTGCACCAGACTATTTCTGGATGGGTTTTGGATGAAGATTCCACAACCTGTCTGGGCAGTGTTTGATCACCATCACTGTACAAAAGCAGTTTTTACATCCACCAACATAAAAGCTAGAATCACTCCCCTTCAAGGATTCCTTAATTCCCAAGACAGCACAGGATTCCAGGCCCTGTGACTTGAAGAAGAGAAAAGCTCTATGTTTGGTTCACTGCTTTCTAGAAAATACAGGTGTGATGTGTATTGCATACCTGATGCCGATCCAGAGCAATGGCAGCAAGGGTCAATACAGACACGTGAACGGAACAGTACTGAACAAATCGGCTTACATGACACATCAGCTTTCCAAAAACCCAGGTACTGCTTACAAAACGCACCTGAAGAACAGAGGAAAAATAATTTAATTAATTAAAATTGTGCATTACCTGAAGAGTCACAAATAGGATTCCTGGGAATATCTTAAGGGAAAAATATTGTGATACAGTTTCCTTATCCTTTGTAGATGTATTATTATACTCAGATTTTGGGGAAAATGACGACTGTGCAAGAGGCTCTGAAAAAGAGGTGAGAGTTATTATACTGAGCAAACAAAGCCACTTGAGTACTGCGCTGCGTGTGTGTGTGTGTGCATGTGTACATGTAACGTGGCTATTCCAGAAAACACAAAGAAATCTTCTACTGATTTCTCGATGAGTATCTGCATGTAAAAACATTAGCATGTCTCCTTAAACACAGCTGCATTTTTGTCATTGTTAAAATGTTCACATTTGTGAATGCCAAAAGTTGCATGGGTTCAAAACTCAGTGAGATAAATTCATGAAAGAAAAACTCTTTGAGGGCACTGAAATATAGAGCTAGCACCCTTGAGTCAGGAGCATCCTCATGTACCTGCCCTGTGGTCACACAGGTTACAGACTCAGCATACAGGGTACCCTCTCAGCAGCAGGATACGGAGCAGGACAGCAGCGTCTTGCTCTCATGCTGATCTCTGAGCTTGGCGCTCCTCACATCACATTGTGATACACCGACAGCAGTATCAGAGGTGTCAGCTAGCTTAGACAAACAGAGAGGAAAATTTTCCCTTCCAGATGAAAAAGCAACTAACACTTTACAGGCTGGGTTGCCTTCCTTGATGTGACCTCTGGTGTACAAGTTATCTCCACCAGGCATGATGTCCCACTGCCCTTGGGGAGACTGTAGTCAGAGAGAGTTTAAAGCCTGCCCTGAGACCGGAGTGGAAATGGCACGGTGGCATTTCTTAGAAAATCACAGAAAGCTGTTGCTTCTTGTGGATTTCCTACAGAGGCAATTATCCCAAATAACTTGTGGTTTTACTCCCTGCACACACAGCTATTCCTTACTGTGCAATGTTTAATATAACTCATTTTGGAAGCAGATTAAGCTAATTTGAAACAAGGCACATTTACTACAGAACATACATCCACACAGAAAATTAGTCAAAACTAGCTAATGTTTTCAATTAATCTACCATTTTAATTCTAATTATATTCCCATGGAGACAATTCTTGTAGTAATGAGTCTGTCAGTGAAACTGTAGCATTTTCTCTTTCTTTGAAGTTGATGTAATGCTCTAATCTAAGAGGGATTACAATAATTTAATTATTTGTTCCTAATAATTAACCATTGTGCAAACACTCAAGACGGCACTATCCTTTCCCTAAAGATGAACAGATGCAAATCCGACCAGAGTAAGGCAGTGAAAGCCCACCAAAGGAATAGGATCAGTGTAGGGAAAGGTAAATTCAAACTGACAGTGCAGCAAATGCTTCTGGAAGGCAGAGGAGCACCATGGACAGTTATGGGCAAGGACAAAAGTAGGAACATTTCGGATGCTTTTGAACCAGAGGCTTTTGTAAAATTCAGCCATACACAGTCCTACTTCCATGCTGTTTATAGACTGTGACAGTCAGGCAAGAAGTGCAACAGTATATTCTTCCCACTTCGCTCTTTATTTTTCTTTCTATAGTTAGAATTATTTAATATCCAAAAGTAAACAAAGGACAACCAGCTCCTAGAAGCATAGTTACAGCACCCCAGCCACACCAAGCTGGCATGGCTCAGCAAGGACCTCACAGTTTCTCCTGCAATCATCTTCACAAGGAGTGACCCTGCTTGCATCATCTCCATAGTAAATTGACAGCTAATTGTGCTTTCTAGTGTCAAACATGTCCCCGCTTCCTTCCCCATAAACAGACCAGCAGAACAGACCTGTCTTGACACTGTCCTGAAAGGGAGGAAGAAAGTAAGAGAGGAGGGACGCCCCCCAGCAGGTTTTGGGAGGTGGGAGCATGAGCGCCCCGGTCTGTGTCTGTGTGAGGGATGTGTGCAGCCATCCCTGCCTCACAGCCTGCGACCAGCGGTGAGCCAGAGCTCAGTGTGGTGTGTGTGTGGGCACAGCTCCCTGCCTGCCCCACGTCCCCCAGCTGCCCCGCAGAGCCCTGCGCCCGGCCCCTGGGGAGCTTACCAGCGTGAAGGGTGTGTTGAGGATGGTGATCATCACGTCGGCAACGGCCAGGTTGACGATGAAGAGGCTGGTGGCTGAGTGCATCCTTTTGTTCTTGATAACCACGTGGCACACCAGCGTGTTTCCAAAGAGGGAGATGCAGATGATCACTGAGTAGGCTACGATCAGCAGCGCCTTCACCGTCCGGCTCTGGGACTCACCCTCATACCTGGTGCCACTGCCAAAGTCCCCCAGGTCCTCCAGGTCCAGATCACTGTGAAAGAAGGATTGGTTTGGGAAGCCATACAGTGTGGAGAAGAAGCTGGTGGTGTGATTCTCTGTTCTCCAGAAGGGCTTGGAGATATACTGCAAAGGGAACCACGTGTGTCTGCTCATGGCTTGGGAAGCAAAGCTCCAGTGCCGCCGGTGTCCCTGGCACCCTGGAGAGACTGGGGCAGGCTGCACGTTTCTCTGCCCTCCCTCCTTCCGGGGAGCTCAGGTGCTAAAGTCAGTGGTTGCAGGGGGGAACACACATCCTTGCATTTTAAAAATATGCCCCATAGTTGCAAACTACATCAAAGAGCTGATATGTGGGTCCTTCTTCCCGTGCTGATAACATGTCAGCTTAACCCCAGGGACTCTCCAGCTGCTGTTCTTCTTTTCCAGTCCCATATGTCCTGACACAGGAGCTAGTTCAGATGCAGAAATATCAGAGATCCCCAAACACTTTCTCTCTGCACCTAGGAAGAAATCCTGGTGAATATTTCCCTCTGGACACTGTTCTGCTCCTCTCCCACAACTTCTCCTTGGAAAACTGCTATATTGCTTTTCCACATAGTCCTTCACCAATCAGGTCTTTTTCCCAGCAGTTTTCAGAGCTTGTCAGAGCTAAAAAAGCAAGGGAAGCCTTTTCCATTTATTTCCATCCTCAAAGTATCTCTGAGCTATTCACTGGAAGCAGCTTTGCTCAGAGACTGAGTGGTCTCTGCTTTCCCTGTGATATATACAGCCTGCCAGATGACACACTGCATATGAAATAGCCAATAGTGTATCTCTTCCCAGCTTATCCTGAGAGGGATTGCAGCCCCACAGATAGACGATGGGAGAGCGTGACATTTGCAGATTCTAACAGAGCAGCAAAATACAGAGCGGATGTGCCCTTATCTTCCCTGTCTCCCCCTCCTCCCTTCTGTGTACCCAGCACAATAGCTTTGTGGGGTGAAGCGTCTTTACTAAATTGCAGCATCTTTCTCTGCCTTCTAGAGTTTCTGCCTCCAGAGAGCATCTGAAGATTTCTGTCTTCAGATTTCTTCCAGATTTGTGCCTGGCATTGTCCCCTTCTTGGTCCCCTATGGTGCAGAGCACAGGGTAAAAAGTGAAATGCAACGTGAAAATGAAGACAGAAGTTTCAGGGTGCTGCTGGTGTCCATGGAGACACCTACCACAGCTCAGCCTGCTGCTGTGCACTAAGGCAGGGCAGGGGGAGAGCAGGAGCAAAAGGGTCGGAAGTAGAAGAGGCAGAAATCCCTTCTTTTCTCCTTCCCTTCCTCTCCGGGCAAAGTCATTTGCAGAGTCTTTTGCTGTAAGTGCTTCTGCCAGTGTGTCCTGCCTCTGAGACTGAGCTTGGCATGCAGCTGGTTCAGGGCACAAACCTGCAGGCAGGCTGCTGCATCTTTTTCCTCTTAGTTTCTGCTGCGTAAGGTCACTAACCCACACAGCCAGGATTTGATTTGGAGAATGATAAATGAAGAATACTTCCTTTAGAAACACAAAGGTGTAGAGATGCACATGCATGAGGTCAGAAGCAGAGCTCCTGTTAACAAAGATGAAACAGCAACCGCTTCCTTGCACGCGTCCTTGTGAGATGCAATCTGTCGGAAATTGCTGCTTGTGGCTTGGCAGCGAGCACACAGCTGCCAGCACCGGCTCTCATTGCTCTGCTGCCTCACAGCAGCTCCCCCCAAGCTGGGGACAGGTCAGCAGCCGCCAGGGCGATGCCAGTCCTCATGCCTGCATCTCTTACATTCCACTGGACAATTTTCAGGTGTTCAGACTCAAACAAATAGCTGGCATGGGCTGCTGGCAGTGAAACTTCATCCCCCTTTCCTCTTGGAAACCTGTTGCTAGCATTACTCTAATCTCGTTACCATGAAATTAGAATGACCTGACGGGAAGGTCGTTTTCCCTATACCTGGTGATTCATCTCTAATTCTGGTAGTTTGTCCAGGACACCAAACGTCACTGTTACACATGCTGTAAATTTCTTGAAGGCTGAGACAACTTTTCTTTAAATATATATATATGTATATGTGTGTGTGTGCACCCACAGGGGTCTCCACTGCGACACAGCGTAGGCTGGGGACCTGCACTGGGGATAGAGCTGGGGCTTCACCCTCAAGTGCCTTCAGCATGTGACTGTGATGTGCTCATTTCCCGTCATTCCCTTTTATTTTCTTGTAATGCAGTAGAAGAACAACTTAGCATAAGGTCATTTAGGTACACATTTGAAAACAGACCATTTTAAATGACCCAGTGTGCCAGAGGCAAGCCTTTCTAATACTAAAGTATTCTTTGCAGAACTGATTTATTCTATCAAAGATTCGAACACTTAAGCAATCACACGCTGTTTTGCTGCAGTTATTATCCACTTACAAATGTCCTGAGCTGCATCTTTGTGGACCTACGTCTACATTATGCATCATTAACTTAACATTTGTGCTCCTCTGAGTTAAGCGGAGAAGGCAAAGGAGAAATGCACCTTTTCAAGCATATTCTCTCTGTACCTCTGCTACTTTTGAATTGCTCAACGTCCACTTTTATTTCTATAGAAAACTTTTGACTTTCTCATTTTGGCACTACTTGAGTCAAAATATTTTAAAACTTTTTATTTTCATGAGGTTACATAGCATTTTCATTTTTAGTTATTTCTGGTGTCTAAAAGAAATATCAAATAATTGGAATTTCAGTTGAGGTGAAGATCTTTTTTCTGATTAGATCTAATACAGGATAAGTGATGATGATGGTCAAAGAAATCAGAGCAATGCTATAAAAATTCACATCCTTGTTTGGTCACTAGTCTGGCAAATCTAAAAAAGCAAAGAATCAAAACATCAAACCAATTACTAAAAAAAGAAATAATAAAAAAATAAAATAAAGTTCATTTTGTTATTTGACAGATAAAATAAGGAAAGGTGTGAACATCCCAGTTAAATTTTTCCAATGTTCTGCACCAGGTGCTAGTCATAAGACTCATGCTGTTAGCATAAGTAATCTGTTTCAATTCCTCTTGGTAACTTTGGAAATCAACCTGGGAATGGAAAAGTGTGTTTTTTAAAAAAAAGTGTTTCACATTTGACCAGCACAGCTGAACTGTCTGTTAGGAGAGTAGCTGTGTTTGGATCTGTAAATTTTTCAGGATTTCATCCCACTTGGGAATATTAAATCATCAGATAAGGAAAATTTCCACAAGTCATTGGTACTGCTTATTTTTAAATGGTCTTTTGCTTGCTTTTCACCTTTCTCACTCAGTCCAGTCTCTTCTGACAGCACAATATTTTGGGCAAAATCACCTTTGCTCATAGAGGATGAGATCAGCTGTCATGAGTGAGCCCCTGCACCTCTTGGTTTCATATCTTCTTCCAGCCAGGAAAGGTCATGTGAGCTGTTAGAGAAAAAGTTGCTGCTCTGAAGCTGCTCAAACTTTTGAGACATTTCTCCCTCTTCTTCATGATGTGCAATGGAAAGCAACAGAGAAACCTGGGGAGAAACCGCAGGGAGAGCAGGCAGGGTCCTCAGGGCACTGTGATGCAGCAAGAAAGGAGTCCAAGACCTGGGCCTGGGGTGTGAGACAAAACGATGGCAAAAGCTAAAACAAGAACTTCTTTGGTTTGAAAACCAAATGTCTCTGCTTTGCTATTCAGAGCTGAAAGCAGCTGGGGTAGATGTGATGTTTCATTCCTTGAACCTGGACAAGAGAGAAAATTATTCAACAGTTAAAATTTTCAAATCTAAATGAGAAAAAAAAAATGTTCAATATGTCTGTTGCATCAGAGAGCTTTCTGAAAGATTGCTGTTCTCTAGAGAAGCTAACAGTTTGTATTTTTCTATTTGAGATATACAGGTTGAGTAAGGAACAGAAACAATGAGAGCTATGTATCAGTCCCTTGATTTTTTTCCTTCAGTCATAAAGCGTGTCATGAGTAAAAGTTTGCATAACCTTGAAAACCATGATATGGTGATGTGGGATTTTTTTTTTTTTTAATTTTTATATTTGCTTTACTGTGCTGTGGACACTGTATTCCTCTTCATTTGCAATGACTAGTACTGCTTTTGTGAGTCAGAAATGTCAGATGAACAGGCAGAAATTTTTCAGGACATTACATGGACGTGATAATAAACCCACCGTGTTTGGTCATAACAGAGTGACTACCCCAGGAGTGAATTAAAGAACGCAGCTCTGGAATTCAGGCAGACCCTGACAACTCAACATCTTAAATGTATTTAGTTCAGGAGTTGCCCATTGGGCAGAACAGCTTCATGTGAAGCCCTCAGTGGTCTGCAAGCCTTGGCAGCGCAGAGTCTCTGCGAAGCAGCTGCTGGTACTGGTGCTGCCATGCCCTGCTGCTGGCAGCCCCGCTGCAGCAGCTCCTGCACAAGGTGCTCAGCACCCTCCAGCAGCATCATGCTGTGCTGGGCAGCAGGGCTCTCCAAGTGTCCTGGGTGGCTCTGACCTGTGCCTTGCCACTGGGCACGCAGCCAGGCAGTGCCTGGTGGCGAGGGAAAGACTTGCTCAGCCCACGGCACTTGGCAACACCAGCCTTGGTCTGCGTATCCCTTCATCCCCCCTGACATTATTCATCACAGTCTTGCATTCTCCTCTTGGTAAGATCCATTGCAGATATAATCTGGCTTTTACATAATTTTTTAATTTACTGAGAGCAGACTTGTAGGCAAAATCATAAAATTTGCCACTCTGAAATAACAACAGCTGCTAACATTTAAATTAGAAACAGTCCCTGACAACTAATTCCTTCTATATCTGCTCGACAGCAATAAAGTTGATGGAGGTGTTTGGTGCTGATAGGGTTTATTTAGGGAGTCTAGTAACTCTGCAGTCTGATCTCTGCACTGTGAACACTTGAACCATTCAGTGCAGCCCCAAAAGAAGCCCCCTTCTGTTACGCGCAGCATCTTGTATCCCCTGTCAAAGTGATTCAGTTCAGACCCAGACAAACCCCTGCAGGTGTGATCAGAAACGATCACACATCCCGCCCGAAGTCTACTGATTCATCTCAGCATCCAATTAACACCACCTCTGATGATGTGGACACTACGATAAAGTTCTTCAATCGTTTAGCATCAGCCAAGAAGGCTGCTGGCAATACCTTTGGCTTTCGGGATTATACTCAGACTCTCTGGAGATGGGGGCCCGGAGAAGATGATCTCTGCTCCAGGCTCCTGACCCACGCGTCCCTGTCCTCTCCAGGCAGAGGAACATCACTGCAGAGAGGGGTAGCCTAATGAGATGTCAGAAATCCTGGTGGAGAGGGATTCTGCAGAAAGGAGAGGGCAATAACCACAGAGACAATGAACATTTAGCTTCAGGGGCTGCTGTTGCCTGTGGTAACATGTCATTACCTAGTGCCCATACCACATCCAGCATTGTCACCAACCCGCTAAGTATCACAGTGTGAGTGAATTGGCTCTCATGCGCTCTGCTTTCCATGCACTCCACAGACAATGCCTTACATAATTTCTGCTTTGTTTCAGATTCTTTCACCCCCAAATTTTGATGAAATCAAGCTACATTTCTGTTCTCCCTCTTTTCTTGCTCATGCATTCAGGGTAACTCTGCTGACTTCAGTGAGACCCTGGCACAACCCAAGAACTTTACATGCAGGGACAGTCTGTGAGTATTGGCCTATGACTCAAAGCCTGGATGCTTGCAAAATTGAGGAGAATTATTTAAGACAATTGAGTCCTTTGGGCTTTCACTTCTGAGGGAGATAGCAGGAAATAAAGCTCTGTATTCTCTCTCTGGAAGACCCTCCAAGGCAGGGAGTTACTGCAGAGCATTGCCAGCCAGGAGCTCATGCCAAGTCACTGCATGTCCACTGCAAATCTTTCTTCCCAACTAATAGGTTCGAAGAGGAGATGGATGAATTTCTTTCCACTGGGTTTAAATGTACGTGGAATTCCTCGATCCTTTATTGCCAGACTTGTCTGTGATTTTAGTAGGGGAAGAGCCCATTATTAAGAGAACACGTTATAAGAACCGAGCTCTGAAGGAGAAGCAAAACCTTATTCCAACCAATTATCTTGAAGTGAAATGGAGTTCTGCTTCTGAGAACAATGAACAAAGCTGAGCTGGGCACTAGTCCTCTCACACCCGGCTTCTCAGGCTGAGCAGTTAGAGGAAATGAAACACTGCCTTCATATGCATTTCCATCTCTTCTCCCACCAGCTTTTGCCTCCACATTGATGGAATTACAATGCATGATGCTCCCAACACTGGAAATTGTGCCCAAAGGCCAATTTCAGCTTAAAAATTCTGCATGCTACTTAGATCACCCTTTGATCCAAAGCTGAGACCTGGTGCAAGCTGCCCAGCTCTGCTGGCCCAGGTGGGTGCACTTCGCTTTGCACTCGGGGACGGGCAGCTCCCGCTCAGCACAGGCTGTGGTGGTGCTGCACAGCAGCACCCGCAGCCTTCCTGCAGGGGGGATGCCTGCCAGGCAGGGCTTCGGGCAGCAAGCCCATAAGCTCTTACACCTGCGGAGAAGACAGCAAATTGTACCTGCTTACTCCTTTGAAAAAGTGGCATCAGCAAACAAAAAGAGAAGTGAATCGCATAATGAGAAAGTGCTCATCTGCAAAGGGAGTGGGCGGAGTACAGCTTGTTTATTTAACCATTCCAAAGCAAATGTCGCTAATTAATTTCAGGTCCTCCTTGTAGAGCTATTCTTTCTTTCAGTGGAATGAATTACTGGGAGGTGAACAGACACCACACACTTTCAATGTCTTTTGAATTCCTCTCTGTGAGGAAAAACGTGAAAGAAAGGTGCTGAGTGCAGACTGACTATCTGCCAAGGTACTTCATAAAATCTTCCTGAAGTAGCATTTGAGTTTTTATTCTCACAGCTTTCCTGGGAAGTAGTGAAATCTTTATCCCATATTGTGGGAAGAATAAAAAGGGATGATCAGATGTCCTATGTGGGATTAGCCAGGATGCTTACACTTGAGGAAGGAGCCAAAAATACTTTTTTTCTGATATGCTGGCTCAGCTTTGCCCTAGAGAAGACTGACATACTGTACAGACTGATATCGTGTAAAAATATCCGTGGTGAACTGATGCTTGGTGTTGTACTACATGCCCTTGCAATCCAAATGCTGCATTACCTCCATAGCATGGACTGGATTTTACAAAGGTAACTAAAAGGAATCCAGCGCATACTATGAAACATCTAAAATATTCAGCCCTAATGCCTGGAACTAATGCAAATCTTCATAACATTTTGTGCTAAAGCTCTTTGAGTACGTTTGTTACTTTAACACCACTTTAATTCGACCCTTTCAGGAAGTGAAACACCAGGTATGTTCAGTAAATTAGTTCCAAGTCTGGCCCAGGTACTAGAGACAGCAATTTGGAATACATACCAATGCAAACAAACAGAGAATTGATGGAGCCTTCTATATTGACAGTCTCTCAAAGCAGACTATGGTTACTGAGTTTATGTGCTGCTAACCCACAAGGGTCTTTTCACAGAGCTAAGAGCTGAAAGAATCAATGACTTAGGAGGAGACAGTCCTGTGCAGGGAGTACATCTTTCAGGGAGGAAAGTCACGGAAGAGGAACAGTGAGATAGAAAACTGCCTTGTCCTGGATATATGGACATTAGCTCTGGGAGAAGCTCACCCTGATGCGTTGATTCTTTCCTTCGCCCAACGAGCAATCATCTACTTCACAGCATCCTCTTACATCTCTTCTAATCCAGACACTTCCCACTGGGATACTTTTGTCCTTATAACATTCCCAGTCTCTTTGAACGTCTCTTACTCTTTGTTTGTTGTTGTTTTAAACATTTCTTAAAATATCTGTGTTTCCAGGGGTAGTTTTTTGAAACATCAATGACTAGTCCTGTTGGGATTAGCTTGCATTCACATTACCAAAAAATAAAATAAAAAGAAACATTGCATGCAATCTCTTCTCTCTTTTCAGCTGCATTTCATTCAACAATAGCCACAAGAAACGCAAAACTGACCAATACTTCCCTTAACATTATTGCCACATCCCCATCTGTACTCACTAACATTCCTGCACTTCAAGATCAAAATATACACCTACTACTTCCTTTAAACATTAGTTGCTCCATTCACATTCCTGAATGATCTGCAAGCTTCTACCTCTCTTTCAAAAGCCAGGAATTTAGGGATAGAGGCACCACACACTTTATAAGGCAAAACTCACTCTTGCAGAACGTCATATGGCAGTACAGGCACTGTTAGCAGGCTGAGTCCCTTCCCAAAGCAGCTGCCTGTGACTCTGTGATCCAGCTGCCCTCCTTGATAAGCTGCAAGCCTGGTGACAGAATTGTTCATTGTGGTGCTTTGCAACTGAGCACCAAAAAGAGTCTGCTACTGGGGCAAATCCAGCAGGATGCCTGCACACACACCCTTTGCACTCGCCTCCACAGGAGGGTGTGTGTGGGACTGGCTCCTCACTGCGGTCCCTTGGAGGACCAGCGGCTTGAGGAGCTGTTGGCCACCTCCCAGCTACATTTTCCCACCTTCCAGCTTGGGCCTAGACCTCTCTCTATGGAGCTGCAAACTAGTTGCAGGAATCAGAATGAGACCAATGCTTTTGGACCTGATTAAAGGCTTTTTTTTTTTTTTTTGATCTCCTGCTGATCCATTTCAGAGTGCAGCCCAATCGTAGCTACAGCAGCACAAAAAGATGTTACTACGATACAAAAATGAGCTGAAACCTCCTAAAATTGTTGTTACATAAAAATCACACAGCTGATACATTCTCTGTGTAATATCCTTGCTTCCCTGTTGTTTTCTTTCTGGGAACTTGCCTCTTTTTTCATTTTTTGGATGGGAGAAAGCCAGGTGGGTTGTATTAGTAGCTAGCCTAGAGAAACTGGGAGAGATTCAGGAAAGGCTGCGCAGAGCCTGACATGCATTGTGCTTGGGTTTGGCTCTCCATGGCATCAGCAGGGGTTCCAGGGCCGCTGTCCCAGCTGCAGGCTGGGGTAGGCACCCCCCAGGGACAGGGGCAGCAGCAGACGTGCCACCATGGCACCAGGAACGCCAGGGTCAGCTCAAAAATGAAATAGTGGATTTTCAAGGGTAGTGACTGAGATAAGACCCTGTCAAAAAAGTATAAATATTTTCAGAGTGTGCTCACCCCCTGGTCTCCAGCCAGCTCAGGCAGGTGAGACAGACCCAACCCTGAACTGCCCTGACCCTGGGGAGACAGCAGGCTCACAGCTCGTTAGCAGTGTCAATTAACTGGGCCATGATGATTTCACTACTGTTTTCAATAATCTTGATTAAATGTTGTGTGATGGCTTATTAAGCAAGTTGGGCTAAATCAGCCACTTTTCATTTGTCACCAATTATTTTAAGGTTGATCCAGTGGCTCTGAACACAGAGGTCCATCCTTCCTGCTATAGGCAGGGGATGCTTTAGTGCCATCCCAGCTAGGGGAGGAAAAGAGCTGGTTAAGAAGTGTCCCATTCTGTACAAGACATTTCAGAGGCAGGCCTGAATTCACAGAATTTTTTTTTTTTGTCTTCCCAGGCAAGTACAAAAATGCATCCTGTGCAACACCGATCAGATAGAGCAATGTTCAGATCTGAAAGAGCAACCCGTGTCAGTTACTGCACTCAATGGACCTCCAACCTGAAGGGACAGTCATGCTCTAGCCAGTGCTTCTGATGGTTTTGCTCTTGCAAGCATACCTTTCTTAGAGACATGTGGCCCAAAGACAAAACTGAACAGCAGGCATTCAACCACAAGAGGTTACTGCAGGGGAGGGCAAGGCTGGAGTCTTTCCACTCCAGAAGCGTGTGTCCCTGATGATCAAAATAGAGAAACAGCGCTGATATTTTCAGAGTACCACCAGTAATTTGATGTGGTGACTTAGTGCAGGCATGATTACAGGGTGAATACAGGGTGTGTATCTAAAAAAAATTACTTCATGAAAGTACCTGCAAGAAAAGAATGTGACTGGCTGGGCCTGATCCTTTCTGCAAGCCCACCTCGCACTTGGGAAGTTGTCCCTCTTCTAAAAACTGCATGGATGGGTTTTCTCCCCAGAATTTGAGAGAAGTAGCTTGTAAGTGAAGGAACAAGAGGTGAGAATCTGTGCTTATCTATTTCTCTCAAAAGGATTTACAAGAATGTGAGTGCCAAATAGTCCCAGAAACTCCTCCAGTACCTGGTCCAACTGAAGTAAGGGACCAGAACTTTTTCACATTGTATTACCTGTGAATCAGTAGGAAGACAGTAGGAAGAGCTGTTAGCAAGCTCTGAACTGCCCATTGTCCTGGAAACAACTAATATGATAACAGCAAAAATGTTCAGAAAATTAGATAAAGTCATTCCCTTTCTTTATTGGGCCATTTTGAAAGACTAAGGGTTGAGTCACTGAAAGCAAGACCTCATTTGTACAGAGATGCACATATTAGGGAAAGAAAAATGAGTCAAACTGTCCTAAAGATTTAGCTGTATGATGCTGTCTGACAAGACCTCCTGTGCCTCCAAAAAACATTTTTTTTTTTTTTTTAAGATAGCGTCATTCATTTCTTTAATACTGGTGAATTTCAAATGGAAATGATGCCAGTGAGGCCGCAATCATCACGATAAGTAATTTCCTACAAAGACTACAATTGTGTCTAGAAATTTAGGAGGCTATCAGCTTGGAAGAGATGCTTTAAAAGAAGGAACTGTAGAATAAGAGAAAAAAATGAAGTTTGATATTACATTACATCTTTCCTAACACTCAGAGTTTGAAGAGAGATACAAAATCTCTGGAAAAGCTCCTACAAAGAAGGTTTCCAACAAAGATTACATATTCCTATATTTTCTTTCTTCTGCGCTGTATTGCCATTAGTTATTTAAACTAAGGAACTTCTCTTCAGGTTGAACAGACTCAGGAATTAAACAAATACAGAATTCTTCTTCAATATTTTATATTTCCTTTCTTCATCAATAGATCATTCAGCCATTGCAGCACTCCTGAAACCTACAGGGAGAAAAAAATCAGCTTGGGGGAGTCAAAGATAGCCCAAATTGGAGATTTCTCTCCCCATCTACTTCATGGCTTTTTAGTTTGACTCATTACAACTTTACCATGTAGCCTTGTGGTGACTTTGGAGTTAGTGCACAATAAGGAATGAAGAAGAGCCACAGACTACTCACTTTCCAGAGAGCTGACCTTGCTGCATTCATTGTCACCCAGCCTCCAGCTCCCTTCAAGACCACAAGAGAGAATTTACTTTCAAACAAAAAAGGAACCATGTGATTTATCTTGGGAAAGAGGGAAGAGAAGGGGGGACAGAAACAAACAAAACAACAACAACAAACAATCAAGCAAAAACCACCTCTCCTGTAGCCTGAACATTTGAAGAACTGCTTATTAAAAAGCAAGGCTTCTTTTATAAAATAGTAAGTTAATTATTCATCTCCATATAATGAGCACCTGGGACTTTGTTTAATGTCTCAGACCAAGAACAGCTGTGATTATATTGACAACAGCAAAAGTGGCTGTCCTAGAGGAAAAAAATAAATAAAAAAAAAAGTGCTGCTTTAATACTTCTCTGTCACTGGCACCAAGGAGAATGTTAATAGAAGAGGGATCTGCTGGAGGAAGATGATTTATGTACTTGCTGTTCTGTATTGCTTTCCTTTAGCTCAGCTGAGCAAAAGGCATTGTTGGAAGCACAGCTCTACTTTAAATGGCATTCCAGCACCTCAAAAGATGCGAGCAAAGACTAAGCCAAAATAAAGATGCACCTAATTTCTCAAAAGCAGCTTAGGGGTGAAAAAGGTTATGTCTATCTTTAGTTTTAATCCTGATCCTTTTGAAATGAATAGCAGTCTGTGTTTTCTTAAAGTTTCCCAGAATTTAGGTCACATGAAAGATCAAAAATAAAAATCTGATTGGGAACAGGATGTCTTATTTCATACTCTCAGAACAACAGCGCCTCTAGCACTAGCCAAAAGAGGTTTTATGTGGCTCACCACCAGTGTATCTCTGATTTGCACATAAATCTTACCTCCAGGAGATATTAGGATCTTTTAGTTATAGACAATGAAGCAAAGAAGCCCTGGATCACATCCAAACTTCTCCCAAGCTGGGCAGAGGGTTCTGCATCTGGCACTTTTTAAAACCCCTTCAGCCAGATTAACAGGATAATGTTCAAACAACCTTGAGAGTCTTGAATGAAAGTGGCTATCAGTAAAAAGTTATTATTATCAGCAGCACCATCTCAAGTTGCTGAATCTCAGATGCTAGTACAGAATGTCTCAATAATTAAATATTGTCTCTTTCTGAGTCACTTTGGAACATTTGCTGTGACTCAACCTGAAACAAAACAAGAAGCTTCAGAGGTCTGCAGACAAAGGATGCCTTTTTCTTCCCATGATTTGTAGTTCTGCCTTGACATGTATTGGGTAGTACACTTCTAGAGCAAATGCTGAGCAAGTAGAGTTGTTATAAGGTAAAGCGGTAATAATCATGTCCTAAGCAGCTGGCCACATTTTCAGGAAGATTGAGAAGTCGCCTATATGTGAGGAAAAAAATAAATCAAAGACAGTGCTTCTGCATAAACATTTGGTTTAGGATATTTATTTGTTTTAGTTCCATTTCTGTTATAGTAAGAAAGCAGGCCAAGTGGAGACAAAAACAGCCCTGAATTTCCAGCCTCCAGCTTGGTCAATCTGTTACTAATTAACATCTCAGACAACAATGATTTTTTCCTCTGTTTTCTATGCAAACAGTTTCTCATAGTTAAAACACAGGGCTCAGAAGGTGTGCTGATGTCTATTCTGAATGCTTTGAAAGCAAAGAAAAGCATGTTGCGGAGTGTTGGTGAGGAATATCTGTGCAAACTGAGATGTTTGATAGCATATTGGAAATGGCTGGACACGGGTTATCCAAGGCTGGAACAACAGTTGGACCAGAAGCCCCAGACTGAGGTAATCTGCCACAAATGTCTGACAAACAGGAGAGAAGGTTAATGCTTCCAGGCCAGCAGATGTTGGCTTGGAGCCTGGGTGCAGAAAGTCAGGAGTGAGATGCAGTTGAAGAGCTTTTGTGGACGACGCTCAGCCAGAATAATCGGGGCTCTTCCTGGTCCACATGGAGTCTACTTGGCAGAGTTGCAACATGGACCAGAGTCCTTTATTACTGATGCCTTTGGATGACTTTTCCTAAATGCTATTTGAAGGGTTAGTAATGACGTTGAAAGTTATGCTATCTGGCTGAGTGTCTGGGGTGAACTCCAATTTTCTTTTCCATGCTGGCTGCTTGAATGAAATGATGTAGATAATGTTTTTATAATTATGGGGGAAAAAAATAAGTAAAAAGAAGATTGCCTGGTCTAGAAACTCAGGGCTTATATTTGATGGTGCTCAGAGAATCAAAAGTATCTCCTCCATGCTACTGCAGCTCTGAAATTAACAGCTTTGTGGGCTTTTCAGTGACATTTGTCACTGCATGCAAAGCTCAGCTCCCACTGTCTTGGGCTGCAGCTGTGCAGATTCTGGAAAGCAGCCCCAGCACCAGGGGCTTGCAGAGAAGGCCAGGCTGGTGGCAGGCTGCTGGCCTGGCCAGGCAGAGCACCCCGGTGGGAGTGGGACTGGAGGCCAGCCCTGGGCAGCAGTGGGGACGGGGAGGCTCTGCTGGCGGCTGGACTCCATCTGAGCCCTGAGCCTGGTCCAGTCCAGCCACCAGGCAGCAGTCACACCCCAAGAGCAGCTGCCACCTCCAGCAGCCAGCCAGGTCAGTAGGGAGCTGCTTTCTATGCCAGGAACATGAGTAGGGGTAATGCTACAGAAACCAAGAGCTAACACGGACGTTTTCCATTCTTCTGTTTCTTGTAGCACAATGCACAAGAGAAACACTTCATTGTAAGCACCAACTTAGTACTGTCCAGTTTTGTGTGGCATGGGAATTTTTCCCTCCCAGTCCTGCCTTTCTGCAGCTGAGCTACCTCCTCATCAATATGTGCCTGTGCCTGATAAAACACGCTTGCCAGGAAATAGCTTGCAGTTGCCCATACAGAATGACATATGAGACACCTTATCTCTGCCAGACTTGAATTTTATTTATATATTAGAGAAGTTAGAAAATATATGTAGGAAAGAGATAAAACAGCAATCTGGTAGACCTTGGAATACATGACAAATTGCACACCTTATCTAAGCTATGTTTTTTTCTTCTTGTGATATTTATCGAGATGCTGCCACCCATCATGACACAGAGAATCAGTGTTTGGGTTTCACTCAGTGCCACAAGAAATGCAAGTTGGGGAATTCAGCAGTTTCCCTTAACTCTGTTCTGATAAAGCTCCCTGGAGCCTAGGAATAGGATAAAACAGTTTTTCTAGAGCACATTCCTCAATATTTCAGTTAATATGATGATAAATTTTATCTTGTTCCTTGACAACTGTGAACAAACATATATTTGTAAAGTGATGGCACATTTTGACTAGCTGCAAGAATCCGTAAGCTTTTCTTTTTTCTCTAATCACAATCTTAGTTAAGTAGAAGCAGTCTACTCTTAATAAGTGAAATGAATGCTCCCCACTTGCCATACCTAGAAGACTCTTCAGGAGCAGGTTGAGTACCAACCCATGTGGGTAGGTGAAGGTCTTGTCTTTCCCAAGCCACTCAGTGGTGTCTGACTACTATCTAGGAGTATAGTTTTGAAGAGGAATCCTTGGCTCCCTCCATGCATGGTTTGTTATAAGTTTTGGGTACTTGCATCTGGCAGCTCACCACAATTTGCCAGCAGACAATGGAAGCATGGGTCATCGTGTAGGTCTCCCATAGAGGCGTGAGATAAACTAGGATCACTGCTTAAGAGATGTCTACTTGGAAACCACTCAGATGAACTGCAATTCTGATTTATGACTAGGTTTGTTCTGGGAACCTCCTTCCCTGTCAAAGCCCCTGAAAACTTTCATTTGGGTAATTCTGTGTTGCCTCACTAAACTATGCTCTGCAAGTTCAGCTAACCACATTTTGTCATAGCCAGCTGAGTTGTGCTATAACACATAACTGAGGGAATACCAGGGTGGAGCTTCCTCAGTGACAGTTAAACATGTCATTTTTGTATTTTGAGGATGTTTTAGAAACAAAAAAAAACAAATGCCACAGGTAGATGACCTGTTGGAAAGACTCTTTATCACCTAAAACAAATTATTTCTTTTCCAGTTGACAGAGTAGAATCTCTTTTCCATTACTTTAAAACAAAATACTCATGAATCAGCTGACTTTCCTCCATTCTGTTTAGTAATTTGTTTATCTTTAGCTTGCAGAAAACTGGGCAACTGCCTTCATCTTGCAGTCTAGTTATAGACCCCAGAAAGGTGCGAATGAACATATGTAAACCTTCAGGTGGTGTTCATCAGACTTTAAAATGCCTTATTTCCTTCTCCCCTAAACTACACTTCAAAGCATAATCTCCTGCGTGAGCTTTCATTTAAATTATTTTGGGTAGAGCATTCATATCCATGGCTGTTTTCACAGGAGGTGCGTACATGCTAGTTTGTGCAAGTAAGGTGATTCCAGGTAGGCCTTAACATGAGGATCATTTTTAATGTAATGGAACAGAAAATTCCAACCACATGGTTATCTTTTTGGTAGCAAGTATTTTCTACACGTGTTTTTACAGACAAGCAGAGTGAAATCTCAGCTGCCATCAGACCCTGGAAGTCTGTACAATGCTTGTTAGAACATGTGCCTTACAGTCACAGCCCAATTATAAGCACCTGGAAATGGTACGGGCTGAGCAGACAGGGAAGTCTCAGAAGCCATTGCTTTTTGAACTTTTAAAAGACTCCTTAACAGCAAAGAAAGAGCTCATAGCTTGCTGCATAGCTCTTAGCAAAAGGAATTATTTCTGACATACTCATTTGTGGAGTTACCCTTGGGCTGAAATGACTGAGAACAAGCTGAAGGGTCCCAGGCTTCTCTGAACATTTATAAATGACATTGGTTTCTGCATGGAGGGAAAGTAATCTAAAAGCAAGTGCCAGAATAAATATATATGGTTTCCAGGTGAGCCGACGAACACTCACAAGGCTTGCAAAGCAGTGAGGAACATGTGAGAAAAATGGCTGATTATACATCCAGTACTGTGGGAGAGAGATAAAAAGGGATGAGTGAATGAATCTGGGGCTTCATCAATCCAATCTAGATTTAAAACTTTCAGTTTAAGTAATAGCTAGATAAGAACTGAGAGCTTAGACATCAAGAGGTGACAAATGGTCTACTTTGCAGACAGAGGAAACAGAATCTGTATCAGCAGTGGTTTCAGGAATTGTTAGAAGAGTTGGTTGTTCAGGC